CAACCTACCTCCTTGAAATCTTGGTTTGAAAGAAAGAGATGGCATCCTAGGACTTTAAAATGGCTAAGAAAGCCACTGGGGGACATTCTTAGCTTTTGATTGGTTATTCATGTCATATACAGAAGTACGTGTATATAAGGGAGCATTTCCAAAAATGAAAAGAAGTGGGCAGGGTGCCACTATGTTTGATTTATTACATGAGCAATATCTTAGCAAACTGAAAAAATAAAATGTTCTTATTTTATATTCAAGCTTGTCAATATCAGTAATTTGAGTTCCTAGTTCATACGAAACTAAAGACTTAGTATTTTGACATCAAAAACATCTAATTTGAAGCAGTGCTGCATTCAACATACTACATGACACACAAAAATCAATGTTTATTTATGTTTTTTATATTTACTTTTAAATTAAGAAATTAAGTAAGGTATAATACTAAAATTTGAATTATAATCTACAGTTTGATACCAAACTTATTGACATAAATACATAAAATAGTAGTTCAATAAAATTTTGAATGCAAGTCAACAAACACGATGACTTGGCCTTTCACCCGTGACCCATCTGGAAAGAGTTTAGCACACATACATCTCTCATTCTATGAATATGCTAAAGATAAAACAAAACACCAATATTGTAGGAAGTTTATATTTGATTTCAATTTTGTTTGTTTTTATAAAACTTTCAACAGAAGATACATTTATTTAACAATGTAAACCTTGTTGATAATCAATGACATTCTTTAATAGCTATGTACTTGGATTTTACATTATTAAAAGTTATTTTTACATAACCATGTAACTCAAAAATGGATAGATCCTGTTACCATTACAAAATACTACTCATTTACAAAAAAATTTAACCATCTCCATACAAAAAAAAAGTTAAAATAATATGAGGACTTGGAATTGCATTATTTCGTAATTTGTTAATTTCAAATTTTCAATATACTTTGACACAATATAGTCATCTTCTTAAATGCATTAAACAACAGAATAAAATTAACTAAATATAAACAGTTTTATAGCTCTTTCTAAGTATTACTTACTTATCTTTTATATACCTTATACATCTTCATAATGTACATGTAAACAGAGTTTAACAGTATTAGTAAGCCCTTCCATAGGTTCATGAGTGACTTAGTGGCATGTACACAAACTAATGTTGAACTTTATTAGAGATCAATATAATACAGGCATCAGTTCAATGAATGGCTTAATGTCAGAATGGATATATAAGATGTGACTGTGAAACTTAAATTTATTTGAATTTATAATGAGAATAATAACTACAATAACTAGTTACAGCACAGAATTATAATTAAAGGTCACTTGAATGCCTGAAACACTGAAATAATGTTTGTTATTTTCTTTGTCTACCCACCTTGTGAATCAGTACTATCTGCTGAACTTTTAGTAGGAGAACATGTGGACATCTTGATAGAGAAAGGGTTACTGTATGTGGAATTTGATGCAGCACTAGTGCCTAATAATAAGAGAAGATTTCAATAAATGAACAAATACATTTATTTTCTATAACCACCTTTGGCACAATATTAAACTGGCTTGAAAGGTTTTGATGCAGGGAAAGCATAACAAAGTACTTGTGGTACAGGTGGTGTTTACAAAGATTAAAAAAAATGTATATGTACTATAACAGCTACATAAAGATGGGATAGGAGAGTTATGAAGGGTTTATACATGTGATAAAGTCTTTATAGACATGAATTAAAAGCATTTACTTGCTAAGACAGAAGCATATTTACATGATTACATAAGAAAATATATTTTGTTAGGTATTTTTGTTCTATGCATGTTATTTCTGGCATATAGTCAGTGAAACCATCTTAATTTCAACGCCCATGTGTATTTGATTCAAAACACCTGGTGCGCTTTATTGCAATGTAAAAACAAAATAAAATAAAAACTTCTGAATGTAATAGTTTGAAACTTGAAATAAGCCTTCTACAGATTATATAGCTTTTGCAAATAAAATATCATACTTTTATATCTGATATTTGTTATAAATTTGCAGCTTTGAAATTTGAAAAGATTTCCTACATTCTTTTAAAAGTTTCCCATTGTTTGTATTTTATAAAACTATGAATTTTATCTTTGTAGTTTCGCTGTGTCTACATCTCTGGTGAACAATAAGAAAAATTTTTTTGCCATACCAAAATTATAATCAAAATATTTTTCTTTAAATTGTTAATCAGAATATTTGATATATGGGATAATTTTTAGGCCTGTTTTATACACCTTTATCTGATCAAAAAAGACTGTAGTTAATTACTACCAATGCTGAATACCACTGACATACTGCAGATTTTATCACAGGATCCAATTACTATAAAAGCATCTTCAGATGCAATAAGCAAAGGTAAGTATTCTTTTGAATAAGTGTCCAAAAGGTAAGGGGTTAATCCTGAGATTTTGAAAAATCAGGAAAAATTTCGAGTTGTGGAAAATGAGGAGAAAACAAATTGTATATTGTCCATTCAAGAAGTTACTTAAGCCAATAAAACCTAATGTAATACAGCCTAACACAGTAACCTTGTTGGCAAAAACAAATTATATGGATGAGTGTAAAATGTATATGAGGACAAGGGTGTAGATTTGGTGTATTTGGATTTTCAGAAAGCATATGACAAGGTGCCACATAAAAGGTTTGTAAAACAGTTTATCTCTGTAGGTGTGGGGAATAAGTTAAGTAATTGGATAGAAAAGTTGCTGAATGGAAGAATGAGGGTTGTTCTAAATGAAGTTCTGTCAAACTAGATTAATGTCACAAGTGGGGTACCTCAGGGCTCAGTTTTAGGACCTTTGCTCTTTTTGATTTACATCAATGAAGGAATAGTCAATAAATTACTTAAGTTTGCTGATTATATTAAAGTCTTGGGTGTTGCTGGCTGTGAGGATGATGCTGCTGATTTACAAAAGGATTTAGATCATTTAGTAAGTTGGGCGAATAAATGGAAGATGGGCTTTAATTATAATAAATGCAAGATAATGCATGTGAGTTATCATAATTTGAATTATAAGTATAATTTGGATGGGAATATCCTTAATGGTGTAATGAAAGAAAGGGATGTTGGTGTAATGGCAGATCACTCTCTTAAATCATCCAATCAGTATGCTGTTGCTTGTGGTAGGGCAAATAGGATTTTATGTTGTATCTATAGAAATAGTGAATACAAGTCTAAAGAGGTTATAATTTCATTGTATAGGTCACTGGTTAGGCCACATTTGGAGTATTGTGTTCAGTCTTGGGCTCTTTACCTTAGAAAGGCATTACATTAATGGAAAGGATTCAGAAGAGGGTTGTAGAAATGGAGGGGATGTGATAAGAGGAGAGGTTAAGATCTCTGAGATTGTTTTCTTTTGAAAAAGAAGAGTTAAAAAGGATCCGATTGAGGTGTTTAAGATTGTTGAGGGAATTGATAGTGTTGATGCAGACACAAATATACATTTTGGCAGAGTAGGAGTCATCTTCAGCTAAAAGTTTTATTTTTCTAACAGGGTGGTTAGCCTTTGGAATAGGTTGTCTTCAGATGTTGTGAAAGCAGTAAATTAAGTGAGTTTAAGAGAAAGCTTGATAACTATATGAATAATAAGAGCTGGTTTTAAAGGGTTTTTTAGAGGATGGGACAGCCTAGATGGACCAATAGGTCCCTTGTTGTCCCTAAACTACACATTAGTGCCAATTTGTTCAAGTTCAACCTTTGTCCTAGGGGAATATGAGTGGCATATTATGTTAAAAAAAATAAAAAATCAGGAAATTTGAAGACAATATTTTCATTAGGAATGCAGTGAAATCCACCCAAAATCAAAATTTTCAATTAAAAAAAATGTTTATGTAAAAAATTACACAAATGAAACTATTAATTTAATAAATTTTCAATATTGTAATTTTTTATAATATGTGGGAGAATGACTACAAATATATTTTCCATAATGTTTCTAATTGAGTGTTGCAGTTTTACTCTTGGGGAGGGGTGCACCCACCCAGGGGTGCCATAGAGCTAGTTTTTACTTTTTATTTATGTTTCAAAATTCATACTTTTATATATATATTGATCAGATAGTTCAAATCATTGTCCCAAGGAACTATATGGCATGAGAGTTTTCAATTCTTGAAACAAGTTCTCTATGTCAGCCACAAAATTTTTTGCTATAAACATGCCTACAAACACTGGCAAAGAAAGGTATGAGAACACAATACATTTTCAATTTCCTTATTCATGCAAAGCCTACTGACTATAGTTTATAAACTCTATATTATGTCTAAGAGAGGTAATATAAGTACTGTTTGCTGCTTTTGTCAAATCAAATAATTTAAATGATTAATTTAATGTTTAAAGTGCAATTCTACAGTCTTGCCTATAAACCTATCTTGCAAGTCTTGTATGCTATCCATTTGTTAGTTTCCTTAAGATGCTGAGTTTGGGCATGAAACAGTGTAGCAACCTTAGCCTGAAAAACTAAACCACCACTGTAGTAAATACATATATATATATAAACCAAAAGATCCACCCGTAACAAGAAACAGCTATCACAGAAAAGTACAAGAAAACAGCACTGGAACAAACCCAAAAAAGTACTTGGCTCCATATAAAGAGTTCAACTGAAAGCACACACACTTCTTCACTCCATAAGGAAGAACAAACAGAAAGGAACTTGACTAAGATTCTACAGCTAGTATTAGTTGGCAGTACAGAGCTATAGAAGTAGATACATTATAAAAAAAATGTAAAGGTCTGAGTTATTGTCTGTATTATTCCCTGCTGTATCATCAAATGACAGACAATTCTAAGAATCCATGACTAAAAGCAAAGAAGAATATGTTATAGTATGTTAACCACACTACATCTGCCATATCCTGTGCCAACAAAGCCTTTTGTTCAATCCCAAGGTTCATCAGGCCAGCTGGGATATGAGAGACATAGTAGTGGTATCATCATCATCATCATATATATATCATATCATCATCATTTTCATAAACAAAAGCTGTTATGGTATATGCCAGATTAAGCAAGGGAATTGTAAGTTAAGCTCATGATGAGATGATATGAGTGAATTCTACCAAAAAGATAAAGAAGCTGAAGGTAAACCTCTCTCAATAAAGACCAGAGCCAATTTTAACCAAAAAAATTTACTTGGAAAGGGCTCTAACCTGATCATTTTGAAAATCATGATAATGAGCTATCTGAATAATGCAACACAGCCAATTATCTAGATAAAAATTATCATAAACAAAACAATAAATAAGTGAAGGTATTAAAAATAAATTACATGTGAAGCAACCTTTGAAGAGAGTCATGATCTGGATGAAAAGATAAAAAGTTTTGTTCGAACAAAATATGTTATATTTTCACTATAAATATATATCAAAACAACAAAAAACCTTAAAATATCAAGTACAGAAAATTCTAAAGCTGGTTAAGTAGAAACCTTTATGAAGAAATTCGAAGATTAGAGCCAGAACTTCGGAGGTTTTTTTTGTACTTTTAAGACAATGAATACATAACAAAATATATGCAAATCCAATGTCACATATTTCAGGGAAGTGATGTTGGCAAGTTCAACAGAGCTGTTACTGAAATATGTAGAATGTAGTCTATCTCAAATCATACTCAGTGATTAAAATAAATTAAAATATTATTGTGAGATTTCAGCATCAACAAGGAACAAACCCAACTTTTTGTCTCTCAGAGCAATACCTCACTCAGATTAGAAACAAAACAATGCTAGGTCAGACCTAACTTTCTCGAGCAAAACTGCTTCTCTATCACTAATAGGAGTACAAACAAACAAAATGGTGTACATCATGATTTAATGTGTATTGTTTAAGTGAAACAACTGTCAGATAGATAAGTCAATGAGAAAAATTACATTTAGCTTGGTTGACATTCTTTGTGGTTGTTTTTAGTGCATACATAAAACAAACTAAAATATAAATGTCTGGAAAAATAACAAAAATGCTTCATTAAACATCATAAACAATGCCACCCAAATGACACATATTAAAACATAACTAGTTGTTTCATCTAATATGATTTAAGTCTGTCTTATCTGGTTTTAGGAATTTATTTGTTGAAGCCCATTAATGTTTCCTAATACTTTACTTAGTAGCTAAAGCTCATCCACTCTTATCGTATCTATACTTTCACACATTCATAGACTTTCATTAACTCATAATGCTAGAAACAGTATTATTAATATTAATGAATTATGATAACCATTTGTATTGTTTTTCTACGTTCTAATTTCATTAATTGCTCATCTTAAATTAAAAGTTAATCTATGTTAATCAAAAGCTATAGAATAGCTGTAGTAGCGATCATAATTTAATAAACCCTCTCATACTTCTAACACAGCATGCATGATGTGGAATGCCAATATACTTCGAATACGATAATCTGACAGTGACACAAGCACTTAGCTATTCTTAAGTTCTAACCCTAACTTGAAGTTATTTGCGGATTGTAATATTTGGGTTAGTTAAGAAGTCTGATAAGCATCGACTCTTTATATGAATAAGTATAGTTCGACGCGAAAAGAAAAACACACCTTATACAAAACGTATATAGAATGTGACGTCAAACATATAGTGGTTTATACGTGTGATTAAAGGTAAAAAACTGAGATTCGAAAGTAAAGTAACATTCCCGTACCTTCTTCCGACATCTTTCTTTTCACGACACCACTCTCGTTTCCAGGTCCTGTACCCAATACCCGTACACAAACTATGCACATATTATTTTGACTTTTCAATCTGTGTAATAATTAAGAACGTCAACATTTTGGTGCTAATGCTTATTCTGTTTAGTGTCTTCACGCATAAACAGTAAGCCAAACTGATAAACTAAAAAATTGCAAAAAATATATTTTCCTTAACTAGTCACTTCAGAGTAGCGCCCCTATTGGCAAAACATAACTTTATCACACCCACAACTAGACATCGAATATATCAGAATTTTCGTATAACCGTATACATTAAGAAGCGTTTCATCAATTTTGTTAAACAGTATTTAAGTATACATTTAAAGTTAAAAATTTAAAAATAAATCAAACATTTTTTTTTTTATAAAACATATAATAAATGTTAATCTAAAAAGTGTTTAGCTAAAATAAACACGTTATACATATGTAATGTTATTGATCTTTTAACCATCACTATGCAGATCGAGAAAAAAATAAAGTACTTAGTAGTTCTATCCTATAATAATATATTGTTGCGTCATCGAGGTCACGTGACTGGTGTG